AATGAGGAGTGGCTATTTATAATAGTGTTTGAACTGGGCCATTTTAAAGCTGCTTGAAACTTGGTGTCATTATTGGATGAGTACCATTCACATGTACGAAACATGTTAAATAATTATGCAGGGCCGAACATAGTTGCATGTAGAATATCACTGCATATACACAGATGGTTTGTGATTGAATTTTATTTCCTGAGGTAAAGGAGAACTATAAACATAAATGTGCTTTATTTCCTTTGGAACAAGTACAGGGAACTTATCTTTTATGGTGATCCTAGGTGCTCAGATATGCATCATCTCTCTTGTCTTGCTGCTGAAATGTACCCTTTGTGCCTAAGTATGTAAAGCGTATGAAAAAAAAGTATTCTGCAGAATTGCAAACTAAAGTTGGTTCTTATGTGGTTTCAGTTCTGTTAAGAATTTTTACTGCTCCATACTGTGTAACAATTTTCAGTGCCTGTTATATCTGCAAGAAGACTGAAGTCATTGGTTTTAGGAATTCCTTTTCCTGACAAGAATAGAATTGGCTTCAGAGGTGGCACTCTCAGCAGGAAATTATTTTAGGATTGCAATAATAGCATGTGATTGAACAGCCTTATTAGAAGTTTAGAAGAACTGAATATAAACCAGAGGTTCTTTTAGATGAATTCTCTGCCCTTAAGGCAGGCTCCCTCATTCCTTTTTTCCTTTAACTTCCCTAATCCATATTGTAATGTCCATAGGACAGCACTTTTGAATATCATATCAAGTTACATGCACTCAGATAACCCAATTTAATTCAGAAAAGGCAAATAAATTGTTATTACCTGAGCTGAACTGGGAACTGTGTTATTTCAAATAAATGTTATCAAAATCTATTGTTTTCTAGTGAAATGGGTTGTGGGGTTGAGTGCTATAATGTGAGAGGACACACCTGGATTGCAATAACCCACAGAGCTGGTTTCTTATCTCGGAATACCTTGCCCAACATAGAACTACAATATGGTAGTTTTGAAGCACCTTTGGGATATCACTTGTCCAAATTGACACAACTTGGGTAAAATGAAGATCCTAATATGTGATCTTGACACAGATTTTGGGACTTTGTTTTCACTTAAGGTTTATTACAGATTTACTTTCAACTAGCTTCCTTCTAGATGCTCATGCTAGGATAACTTTCTGTTAATGAAGCTAATCCTCTATTCCAAGAGAGCGCCAGGAAACTGCCCGAAAAACAGCCCCAAAACAGCCTGTGCGTGCTGGCCAGCTGGTCTTTGGGTTTCCGGCACTCCGGCGTACGCACATGCACGCACATGCACGTGTGTTCTGGTTTGGGCACTCAATGCCGAAAAGGTTCGTCATCACTGGTTTTAGAGAAGAGCCGTTTCCCCTGCAGCCCCTGCCCTCTGGAACATCTTGTTGCCAGAGATGAGATCTGCCACTATTCTTTTTGCCTTCTAGAAGGGCCTTAAAACCTGGATCTGCTGGTTGGCTTAGGGCACTGATGGGGGTATGCTGGAAGTAGTTGGTGGAGTGAGAAACATGAGCCCACCCTTGTACCCTTCATGCTCTTGGTTTTTAGTCTTTATTTACTTGTTGATAATTTTAATGCTTTTATATTTTTTATATTTATGATTTTATGGCACTGTAAGTCACTCATAGTCACTTTGTATAGTGAGGTGGATAGCGTATAAATTTAATAATAAACAAACAAACAAATAAATAAAATCAATTTCCTAGTCCTTTTTTATTATTATCCCTAAATGATGCATTTTTAGAAAAGGAATATTATAAATGGAATTCTGAAAATAGATTGAAATTACAAGAAATACTACTAATATTAGATTTTGTATCCCTAAACTGATTTCTAACTGGACCAGAAAATTAGACCTCAAGGTGCATAAAAGCTGATTGCAAAGATAAAATTTGCTAGATACTTTAACAACTATTGATCTGCTAGACAGGATGATTTTTTGAAAAATAAGAAACTTTTCCTTTCTGTTTAGAAAAATATTGTTCTGGTTACGAGAGAACTTCAGGAGGGAAGAGAGATTCTTTTTATTGTATTTTATAAACATCATTACATATTTCTCCAAAATATTTGGAAATAATTGGCTTTAAACATTGCTTCTGGAATATTATTTTAAAAATATGCTAGTGCGTAGATATAAAGAGGTAATTTTTGTTTAGAGACCACAATTAGGCCCAGCAACTCAGTTATTAAGTGAAGCGGTTTCTAAGTGCAACCAGAAATGTGCTTATGATCGTACTTCAGCTTTAATTTGCTTTAGAGTTCTGTGAGGGTCATAAATACAAGGTTTGATTGTAAAATTACTTTTTCATCATCTTCATTACTCCAAACAGTCATTAAACAAAACAGTCGCTAAATAAGTACTGACATTTTACCTTAATATCTAATAATTAGTACATTTTTGTATGTGTGCCAATACAGTTTGGTTGTCTTCTTTAAAGAGTGCATGCAAACATATGGGTGGTACATTTATTTTTAATTAGACATTTGTTTGCCTCCAGCTTGTCAGCTACATAAAAACCATAGTCTTGCCTCCAGCCAAATTCATTTCAAAACTAAAAGGGAAAAAAATGTCTGAAGTCAGCATTTGTTCTGACAAACCTTCAACTTTTCTTAGATTCTGGGCATCATAGCCATGTTTGCAGAGACCATACCAAAGCAGAAGTCAACAAACTCCTTATGGATCTTGAAAGATGAATACAATCCTGCATAGGTCGCAAGAACAAATTTCTGGAAAACTGAAGATGTGGTTGGAAAGATTTTTTTTGAGATAGAAGCTGAACATTTTCATAAAGTTGCTTTTTTATCAAATCAAAACTTTCTTGATACATTAATGTCACAACATATATGAAAGTGCATAACATTATATTGCTTGGTTCAGTTTTTAAATTAAACAATGTAAAACCTTTTTAGAAATACAATAGATATCTGTGATACTCTGTTATACCAATAAATTGTTATATAGCCCAACAAAATAAATTAATATGAGGCATGGGTTTTGATTGGTATTAAATCAATACAAATATTCTATGAACAAAATCAGTGTTCCTAATAAAGATAATACGAAATGTACATACTTGCTCACCATTTGGGGTTATAGATCTTATAATTAAGCCAAATGAAATAACCATTTAAGTTCCTTTATATAGGGATATATAGTACATTTTTAACAGAATGGCTCAAATTTTAATAGCGGTTAATAGAGAATAAAAATAGTATGCTGGTACCAAAGATGTGTATAACATTTACAACAGTGTGTTGGAAAACCTTTGGCATAGTCAAGTTCCCAAAATCTGATATATGTGTTGATAATGCAGCAGAGGAATAAAGTTTTTAAAAGTTGATGTTGAGGTTAAATAAGGTAATATTTAAACTGCAGATACAAACTATTCCTATATGTCTGCTTAATTATATTAAAAATGTAACTCTGAGAATGTTACATGTGCCAATACAGTTCTGTTAATGGCAACTATATTATGTATTAATTAAATTTAGAAATCTAATACTGACTTACTAGGAGCCAGCCAGAAAATGAATACAAAAATTTTTTAAATGACGGTTTTTGAACTAACAGGTTGAATGGAGTTTATGTAAAATCAGTGACTGAGTAGAATAATATTTTGGATTACTGTACGGAATTTGGTCATTGTGTCATCATTGTATTCTTGCATAATACATGAGCCTTTTGGGGATAATTTAATTTCATCTATGATATCCGTATAGGTTTTTGTACAAGAATCACTTGTATTATTTTTGCTATTTGATTTTCAAATAATATATATTATTTTTTAAAATAATATTTATAAGTTTTATTTGGGGAAAAAAAAGAAAAGTAAAATTTAGTAAATGATTTTATAGTATAGATTTAAAATATGTGTGTATATATGTGTGTGAGAGAGAAATCCTGCATAAAATATTTTTTTAAATTAGTACGTACGTCAATTTGTAGAGATTTTGAATATCAATTATGCTTAAAATTATGTCATTATGCATATTGAATTTTTATGTACCTTTAATTGAAAATAAATTCACCATAAAATTTTACCAGACTCTGCATTCTCGCCACTCCACCACCACAGCTCCTAAAAAGCATTCATTAAAACAATTAACAATTACACAGGAAAAAAGGGCGCATTTTACTATTTCCCTAAGTACTGGGGGAGTGGAAACCTCTAATAAATGTACATAGAAAGTTGTGCAATATCATATCAAGCTTTTCATCTAACTCAAGATTTTGTTCTTTAATTCTGTTTATGCACTATATCTTAGGTATGGATCTGTCTTATCATATGTTTGGTACCTGATTTTTTAAAATTGATGCCAATAACATAGAATTTCTAGATGTAGAAGTTCTGCATTAGAGTAATTAGATATACAGTAGGTGTAACAGCATTACTTTTTAAAAACATTTTTAAAAAATTGATTTCACTCTGTATCACTTTGTACCAAACCTGATATAAAGACGAACATCCAACAACTGAAAGAACCTGTGCTTGACAGGGTAACATAAAGAGCACTTGCCTATAAAGTTGCCAAGAGTCGGACACAGCTAAATGGTTAAAACAACCTGTTATAAGCAAGCTGTGTTGTTATGTCTATGGGTGCTGATAGAGTGCTAATTGCCATTCTCTTGGCAATGTTGTCTTATTCAGGGCAACTATTCCTTCCTACACTTAGTTTTGCTCCACCCTTGCCAAAATTGCCTCATCACTGTGTTTTTCCACATCTTTAATTAGGAGGGTATTTTGAAAAGTATCACTTGAAAATCAGGTATTTTCATTAGATCACAATGTCCACTTTATTATTATTGTTGTTTTTGCCTATCGAACAGCTGCCTGTCAAAGTGATAATTGGTTATGGAAAAATAGGACGAATCATTAACCGCACTGTACCATCAATTAGTCTGTTATAAGAGAATAGAGATTAAGTGTGCAAGCCTTGTTATATATTTCAAGTGTTAATAAGTCCTGTAAAATCCACTTTTTTCTTGCAGAAAAGACGAAAAGGAATATGCACTGAAACAGATTGAAGGCACAGGAATATCCATGTCGGCATGTAGAGAAATAGCAGTAAGTGACACGACAAAAATACTCAACTCTTTCTACAATTAACAGCATGGGGAGAATCCAACTAGTTTCCATCAGAGAAAAGCTGTAGTGCAGTGCATTCTGCTTTCTGTGCAGAAAGTCCCATCTGCAATACTTGGCATTTAATTGAGAAACTGCTAGGCTAGTTGGAGCAACAATCCAAATTAATATGTAAGGCAGCTTCCTCTGTTCCTATTTCAGCTGAGAAGGGGAGACTTAGTTTCTCCATTATAAATTATGATATACACTTCAGTGCCGCTATGGACTAGTTAGGAATGTGCAGAATGGATGAAGTTAGACTGAAAGGGGAAGGAGTATTACTGAAATCAAGCCCATCCTTTATCAGCCAGTAGAACCTAATGCTTCTAGAGGGAAACTAGCTGAATTTTGCCATGTTAATTTTTAATTATTCTGCTAAATGTCAACTTTAAAAGTTTCCATAAATTTGAACATACTTGGTTCAAATGTCATATTTGACATCTATACCTAAATAACATGGTATATTTTAAATTCAAATTTAAAAGATACCATACATACAATAATCCACATTTAAAAGATACTTAGATACTTAAAAATAATTAGATTAATCCTAATTTTAAAATTTTAATAAAAATATTAATGACTTCATTGCTGTACTATTAATTTATTACTTTTCTAATTTTTAGGAGATTTTACTTCTTGGTATATTTTACAAAAGTGCAGGATACAATATTTAACTAAACTAAAGAAATGAAAATAAAATAATATAGATTTGATTTAGATATGTAGTGATTCTATTTTCCAGAAAACTAGCAGGATACTTTCCACTTACAGAAGTATTCTAAATAAAAGATTTACTGTTTAAGTGCACTGTTTTATTTGCACCACTTGATTATTTGCAGTTGAGTGTATTAACATACAGTACATTTAATGGGGTGCAAAATGCTCTGTAATATTAAGTCTGTGACAAATAACATATTTTTCACACTATAAGACGCATTTCCCCCCTCCCAAAAAAGTGGGTGGAAATGTCTGTGCGTCTTATAGAGCTAATGTTGCCGAAGCCCCACCCACCCATCGACCTCCATCCTTTGGCCTGTGCCTCCCAGCAATTTGCCTCCTTGCAGCAAACAGCCTGGTTAGCTTCAGCACAGCCTGATATAGCACGAGCAGCTGATTGGTGTTGGATCGGCCTCCCGGAATATCACCGATCAGCTGTTACAGGCTACAGGGATTGCTGTCACCACCATGCCCATTGCCGCTGCCTATCGCCACCGCCTAATGCCATCACCTAACACTGCCTATGCGTGCCCCATTTTTGGCCTCTGTGCATCCGATTTTTGGCCTCTGCACATCCCATTTTGGGGCCATTCCAGGTGGCGGGGATCAGCGGTGGCTGGGAACAGGTTGAAAACGGGACACACAGAGGCTGAAAATAGGGTGTGTTGAGGCCGAAAATGGGACGTGCGGAGGCCAAAAATGGGGCACGCATAGGCGGCAATAAGTGGCAGCGGCGATGGGCAGCGGTGATCCCCGCAGCCTGGAACAGCTGATCGGCAGTATTCCGGGAGGCTGATCCAACCGCCAATCAGCTGCTCGTGCTAAATCAGTCTGTGCTGAAGCTAACCAGGCTGTTTTCTGTTTGCTGGAAGGAGATAAATTGCTGGGAGGCAGAGGCAGATTTTTTTTTCTTGTTTTCCTCCCCAAAAGCTAGGTGCGTCTTATGGTCTGGAGCATCTTATAGTGCAAAAAATACAGTATGTTATACATGTATATCACTTTCTGATACAGCATTTGGTTAGTCTGTTGCATCAGTCCAACAAATAGAATAGAATAGAAAATGAACCTTTAATGCAATTAAAGAATATTATTGCATCAGCATTTGTGGACCTGATTTCATTTCAGCAAAATCTCATTTTGTAGGAACTAACAAGTGATGTGTTAACCAGGCCTAAGAATTTTTTTTAAAGAAACCTGAAACAGTATACAAATAACTTTTTCTAGGATTTATAGAATTGGGGAGATAGTTGGATTAGCTCTCCTCCATCCTAAAGTTTTCCATATATGTTGGGAGTTACTGTCTGGAAGGTACCAGTTTGAAAAAGCCATTACTCTACATAGCAAAACTATGCATTGCTGTTTCATGACTGTTTGATTAGGAAATATGAACTTTATGAGATATCTTTTTAAGAAATAGAAAAGGTTATATAATTACATTACATAATATCAGCATTGTTGTCTAATCAATCAATCAATCAATTATATATGGCTGCCCAATCACCAAGTGATGCTGGCGGCTGACAATTTAAAACATCAAAAAAATTATATCCAAAATAAAAAAATGGCAAAGAAATGAATATATCACTGGAAACAATCATTCACATAACCCAGCTGACATGTATTGATGACTCATTTTACAGCCTCGGGCTTGAGGAAAGAGCCAAATCTTCAGAGCCTTTATAAAGGCCAGCAGAGTGGGGACCATCTAAATCTCAAGGGGAATGCTATTTTATAGGATGAAATGTGGCAACACTGAGGTAGAATATATACAAAACTACACATGCTGCTGTCTTCTGAACCATCTGTAGCTTCTGACCTTCAGCCACAGTCCTATGTAGAGTACATTACAAATGCATGAGTGACTTTGAGCAGGGCCTCCTGATTCAGGATCAGGCACAACTGGTACAGAAGATTTATGTAAAGGCTCTCCTAGCCCCAGGTAAGAGCCAGAAAAACAAGAGGACCCACAAATTACAAACCATTTCCAGCCGGGTAGTCTAATCCTACTCAGATGAAAGATCTCCAGCTTCAGGTAATCTCAGCATCCGCAGTCACTCTGTCTTGCTAAGATTGTGCTTCAGCCTATTTCCATCCAGAGCCCCACAATTGAATATGTATAACTAGGTGTCTTCAGCATGTTGCCACTGGATAACCTGTGACTTCATGTAAATAATATAGAGAGAGGAGAGCATTGAGTCTTACAGCACCTTTCCAAGTAAAACCTTAAAACTAGATCTCCCCACCCCATAACCACGGTGAAATGCTCCTGGTTCGGACTGGATTGTCCGATCCGGCAGCAATGGCGGTGGGTGGTTCGGAGAACCAGTAGCAAAAATCCCTCCCCCACATGCCCGGCTTAGCCGCACAATCATCAGAGGGTTTTTTTTTGTTTAAAGCATTTTTTCTACAAATTCTTTGGTCAAAAAAATGCTTTTAAAAGCCTCTGACGATCCCAGCTGAGTTGCCTGATCGTCAGAAGCTTTTCTTAAAAAAACAAAACAAAACATTTTTTCTACAACCTCTTCGGCTGAAGAGGTTGTAAAAAAAAATGCTTTTAAAAGCCTCTGCCGATCAGGCAACTCAGCTGGGATTGTCAGAAGTTTTTAAAAGAAAAAAAAATCCTCTGCCATCAGGCAACTCAGCTGGGATCATTAGAGCCTTTTAAAAGCATTTTTTTACAACCTCTTTGGCCGAAGAGGTTGTAGAAAAAATGTTTTTAAAAGTTAAAAAAAAAAAAAAGTTGGCTACGCCCACCCAGTCACATTACCCCACCACTACCAAGCCACACCCACAGAACCGGTAGTAACAAATTTTACATTTCACCACTGCCTATAACCAATACTGAGTTTAACCAGTCCTGAAGGACATGTGAGAATACTATGCCTGCCACTCCCAGCCTTCTGAATCAGTTCAGAAGAATACCAGGATTGATTCTTTAGAAAGCTATCAAGAGATAAGAAAGATCCAGGATGGACAGACCATTCCACTCTCATCCCATTTCGGTCATAATTATAAAGAATAAAATCATCAAAAATTAATGTGTACTGAGTATTCTACTGAGGCCTGAAACCTGATGAGAACTCACATAATCCATTTCCTTCAAGGCCCTCTGAAGCTACAGTTTGAGTACAAAGAAACAAAAGGAGGAGATTGGACACTGGACAAAATTTGGGAAGCTCCATCACCAGCTCTACTATGGCATCTAGTAACTGCTTTAGCAGCATTCTTCAATCAGTTCCCTAGAGGCCAGCTTCACAAACTGGGTTCACATTCAGCTACCTTCTGGTGCCACACTTGATACATAGATGGGCACATCGTCAAAAGGCCAGCGGTGAAATGCACTTACCTTCGCTACTGGTTTGGGAATGTGAGCGTGCGTGTGCACTATGCTCGCGCAAGCCTCTTCTGCACATGCACAGAGCCTTCTGCACATGCGCAGAGGGTCAAAAACTGGATGTAATGACGTCCCGGTGGGCGGGCGGAGCCTCCCACTGCCGGTGCTACTGTTTTGCGCAAGCTGGATAGATCCGGCTGGATTTTACTGTTGCAAAAGACTACATATCCCTCAGTGTTTATCTGTGTTCTGATTATACTTATCATGTCAGGCCTCTCATCTTTGATCTTGAATGAGAAGAGACTTATTACAGGCTAACTTGCAGAGCACTTGTTTAGTATAGTGGTTTAAGAGGTTGGCTTATAAACCAAAAGATTGTGAATTCGAGGCCTCCCTTGATATGAAAGCTGGCTGGATGACTTTGGACCAGTTACTCTCAGTCCAACACATCTCACAGGATTGTTGATGTGATGAAAATAGGAGGCACAAGAATTAGGTATGTTACCACCTTGAGTTGACCAAATACATATTTTAAAAGGTTGTGATAAAAATAAAACAATTAAGAATAAGGTAGTGTTAAGCAGCATCAGCAACAGCTGGAAGCCAGGATCATCAAAAATCTTCCAGGCTCTGGGGATCATTTGAGGAAGCTGGAGGATGGAATCAGTGGTAAACTCCAAACATATCCTCCCTATGAGTGGTCTGCTGCTATCTCCTGTCATATTTCCTTTTGCTTACCAACATCAAAATATTCTTCTCTGTCTGTCTGTCCCCCCATTAGACCAAGTTCCCTTCTTGGTGTTCCCTCCTCCAAGACCCTAGGTCCCATCCAGCATCATGATACTATACTCTAACCAACCAGCAATCACCGCATATTCTCAAGTTTAAG